CTCTCCAATGCAGATGTGATAATTTTCATGATGATCAAGCCAAGATGTATGATTCTATCCTTAATAGATGAAGACAAACAATTGTTCTAGACAGATGCCTTGACAACTCACCTAATGATCTAGGTTTACTTACATCAGCTGATGATGTTAAACGTGAAACTAACCGATACTTCCAACAAATAACAGGTACTAGACACCATTTTGTTCCATTACCTGATAACTGGAAAAATGGTACGAACCTATTGACACAATCAATCCTCAGATTTATAATAACCTTATGGATTCATCAAGTGAAAATGAATAGAACAGACTTCTTCAAACGTTACCTAATGATAAAGCTCCTGGTCCTTCCAAAATTTCAAATGAGATGTTGAAACATTTAGACCCTAAAATGAAACGTATTTTTTGGACACTCACTTGTGTCTGTCTGAAACTTTTCTACATGCCTGATAGATGGAATTTAGCTTTTGTCTATCCCATTCCAAAACCCAAATCATGGGAATATAACTTAAATAATACTCACCCTATTACTTTATTAGAATACCCTCAAAAAGTAATCGTGAAATTAATTAATAATGGCTTTTAGATATTCTCTCAAAAAATTCTGTCCTACAAGGAAACAATTTCACTGGATTACCGTTTCGTTCTACATTCGAACCAATTCACATTCTCGACAACATAAAATATAATCAATTATCACACAAGAGCAAACAACTTTAGATCCTGTTTCAAGATATGTCAAAAGCTTATGACAGAGTTAATATCGCAATGTTAACTCATACGCTTAATCGTCTGCGCCTTTCTTCATCATTTCTCCATTTTGTACTTTCCTTATTCTCTAATCGCTTTAATCAAATTTTTACAGCTCATGGAAATACAGATCATTACCCAGTTATCTCAGATATTAATCAAGGTGAAATTATTTCACCAATTCTGTGGTATATATATTACAATCCCTTATTATGTCACATACAAAATACCGATCTTGATCATAATCTATCAGCTGAATGGTGTTCACATATCGGTAATACCTTGACATTCACAGTTTCAACACAAGTCTTCACACTTGCCTATATGGATGATACTCTCTGGATCAGTAAATCTAAGGATGATCTTGAGTCAATCTTAACAATAGCTAATGACTTTTACCAACTTAATAGTATTCTCGTCAATTGGGATAAATCTGTATTACTTTCTTCAGTACTAATAGCATCATCCATACACTTTAGACTAGTACACAATGAAGAATGGATCAAACCAATAGACCTTAAATCATCTACTCGTTATTTCGATATTTGGATCTCGCACCTTCCAAATTGCTAGTTTATAAGACAACAAGTAAAAAATGAAATTCAAAACGCTACCTTGATAATAAAAAAAAAATTCCTCACAGATAAACAACTCAAAGTAGTCTTCAACTCAGTCTTCTTGCCAAGAATTCTGTATCATATTCAATTAACTTTTCTTAATTACAAATTTTGTGATCAGATTCTGGAATCATATCGAAAAGTTTTTAAGTCAAATTTACACTTGTCTAAAAGTACCTCAGCAATTATTATTCATTCGTCATTACTTTACAACATTACACACTTATACACAGTACAGATTCAAGCAAAAATTTCCAATTTCATCAAATCTATTAATGACAAAGGGTTATTAGGCATTACATCTCTAATCTGTTCTAGATTACTTCAAAACAATGAATGGTTCACTAAATCACCCCTAGCATTTTGGCTGTATAATGATTCCTTCAAATTTAAAGACTGGTGGTCTGCTCTGCTTTCTGCATTAAAATCACCATCTCCAATAGCAATACTGAGGCTAATTGTATAAAAGGAGAACAATTTCCCTTAAGTGAAATTTTCAGAAAAAAAGATTACCGTACCTTTGCTCCAATTTTAAAAAGCAAACAACTGATGTTTCTTGACCAGATTACAACATCAGATGGTGCAGCACTCTTCACATTATCTGACCTCAAGTTTTCTGCAGCTCGTCTGGCAATTCCCAAGTCTCTTGCTTAGTTTCTCAAATTACAATCATTACTTATATTATCACCTAACACAAGAATCATTCCTTCAAATTATCATCACTTATACACCAATAATATATACTCAATTCCTCTGACCTATATTAAAAGTACTACACATTTTGCTGTGGGTTGGCACTTAAATTCCCATTCTACTATAGTTGGGAAAGTACTCAGAATCAATAATGATATAGTTCACTTACAACATTTTTTTGCCTCGCCAGACCATACCTTCAAAACTTCACTTTTACCATGCAATAAATGCTTTCTCAATGATGATTCTTCCTTTGTTCCTTCTAATATGAGAAATAAACAGGAAGCCTGCTTTGTGATGTTATCTTTGTACCCATGTGCTGACATTAAGGCTCCCCTCCTTCCAAATGTTGGTCATATCTATTCTTTGTCCCCTTATATGCTTTATGAAATTGCTTTATATATTTATAATTTAATTGATAATAGTACACTTAATATCTCCCCACTTTTTTCTTCTCCATCTCTAACACCTGAGCAAATTTTTAATATAGAAATCCTTAATAGTTTAAACAACTTTAAAATTCATTTCATACAATCAACCAACCTCTTGTTTTATACTGATGGTTCCCTTATCAATTTAGGTACTTCTTCTATTTGTATGAGTGTAGCCTGGTTGCAATCTGATCCTTCGGCACCTCTACTTTTCTTTAATGCTTTACTTATCCTTTCTCAACCTTCATCTTCTTTAGCAGAACTAGTAGCAGCTATCTGCTATATATGTAGTACTTACAAATGCTACAGTTAATATTTTCACAGATTCACAAAATGTCATTTCATCTTTTGATAAAATGAACTACTTCTACACCTTTTTTCCTACCTTTAACCCTATTTTTAAAATCTCCTTTTACCCAATTTGGTTCCTTGTCATAAAGTTAATCAAGGAAAAGTCCATTTCCATTGAATTTCACAAAGTCAAAGCTCACTTAGATGATCATTACAATAATGTAGTTGATGCACTAGTAAAAGCTGATAGTCCCCAATCACTCTAAATAACAAATTTCTAGGATACTATTATAATCTCTATTTTAACGAGAATATTGTACTTATACTACCTAGATTGTTTGTGAAAGACCTTCTCAGATCAATCAATTTTCATAATATACAACTACTTTCTCACTTTAAAAAATACAGTACAATAGATGTGGATTGGATTTGAACCTCTTTCATTCTCAACGACAATGAAAACAACTCTTATATATCTTTCAAAGCCTCTTCCATTCGCAAATTTAAAACTAAGCTTATGCTTGAACTGCTCCTTACCCTTGAAATCCTCAAAATAAGATACCTAAATCTATATGACTAATTATGGAATTGACTTAGATGTTTGTGTACTTATAAAACCTTTAATCACGTTTAGATTTGTGTCAAAATTGAACACCATGTCATTGACATTATATCCTCGACCAAAAGTTTTTTCATACAATATCTCATTGCATTGACTTCAGACACTCAGGATTTTACGGATTTTTTATATTTGACCATCTGGTCCTTAAATGATCAACCTGACTCTTTTAACTTTATTGAACTGATCAAAAGAATCGTACCCCTTTTCTTATTCAAGAAAACACACTACCTTGTTAATAACCTCTAATTAATAAACAGTCTCTTATCTTTTACTTACCATCATGCATTTTTCTAAATAAAATCCATCTGGATTGATTGTTGCAATAACATCAAAAATTTTGAAAACCTTAACAACATCTTACTCAATGATCGAAAATTACATTTCACCAACACCGGCTTTCCCTCATCATCATCACATAATTTTAGTATTCCTCTGTACTTTCTTTTCTCCTTTAGATTTGGTATAAACTGATTGAATTTTTAGATCGGTAGCAACCACGCCTCCTGTATTAGATGGTTGATCCTATTCTAAATTTATTTGGGTAGGTTAGTCTGAAATGGTGCAAGGTTGATTTTGATTTGACTTTATTGTTAAATAGAAATTTTTGTACTCTCTATCTTGTAATTTGTAATTTTGTAAAATTTTACTTTACTCTTAAATAAAGTTTGTGTAAAGCTACCGCACGTTAAAAAAAAAAAAAAAAATTATTGAGCAATTTTATTTTTACATATTATCATTACTACTCATTTTTGAGAAATCCAATATGCTAATCATTATGATAAGACAATTAATTCACTCATTAATATCCCCACTTTCTTCCCCCTTTCATATGAACTATACAAGTTTAAAATAGCCCATTCAGGAGCGTCATCTAGCAGAATCAAGTTATCTTTATAGATAATGTCATTGTACTATCTCTTTCTTTGAACTTTAATGTGTTATACTAATCTGCCAATTTGATCAGCTCATCAGAGAATTTTCCTTAGCTACGACAATATTAATTATAATTTGTAAATAAATAACAACAAAAAAAAAATGAAAGTAAGAAAAAAGAAAAAGGAAAAAAAGTAAAGACAAACAAATAATTTTATTTACTTATTCTTTGTGAACGCTATTACTTATCATATATATAAATAACATGCATATCATTATTGGTTTTATTTTTCGGTCAAAGATGTTGAGCAATTTCCTCTCTTGCTCTTTCCTCATCAGTTTTTGATACTTTATCTGAGTGATAACTACCATCTGTAAGAATTTTTTCGAGATCTTCCTGATAATTGTTATCAGTTATTGAATTAGGTTTCATACCTATTAGGGTCTCATCATTGGTATTATACATGTGTATAATACTACATTGTCACCTTTCTTTTTTCTTAAATAATTAAAACAAATAAATTAAATAAACTATATCGTGATTTGATACATAATATATTTAATATACTTACTTCCAAACGTCTTAAGTTGGTACCCTTTCTTTTTTTATCTGATTTCGATTTTATCTCATTTAACAAAATTTGCCAACTTTCATGACGATGCTGATGAAGCTGTTGTAAGATATATTTCAACTCTGATTTTGTATAGATAAAGTTTTTTTTTTTAATGCCTATTGATCGTTGGCATAATATTTCTTGAAACATGTTGAGAGATATCACTCCATTGCTGTTTATGGTCGAACATTAATGATTTATCAAATTCTTTAAGTGTTAATACAACTTCATCCTAAATTTAAATAAGTATAAATAAAATTATTAACCTCGACTTATTCGTTCTGGAATATTAAATTTAATATACCCTAAAAATCTTGAATTGTTCATTAGACATCTTTTCGAGTATTAGACGAGATTTTTATGCATATCCTTCTGGTGATTTTAGAGTTACAGATCCTTTACCTTTATTAAGACATGTAGACTGAACTTGCAGCACGCTCTTCAAAACTTCAACTTCTTTAATCAAATGTTTAAGTGTTGAATTTATTGTTTCAATTTCTATTACATATAATATAAAATGTAAAAGCTTAAGTTATCCTCACATTAACAATCTAATTAATAATTTTACCATTTATTTCTGAATTTTTGTACAGTCTAGAACTTCTGCTTAAACTTCTGTTACTATCATCAGACCATCTTGGTGAATTATAAAGAACTGGACGCTTTATTTTCTGACTTTGATTTCTATTGTATTCACAGAGAATTGATCGTTTTCTTTCTGGGTCTCGATGAATTGAATGTTCTCTATTATCATCATCATGAGGAATCGAATGTGAATCTCAATGAATTGAACGTTCTCTATCATCATCATAAGGAATCGAATGTGAATCTTGATGAATTGAATATTCTCTATCATCATCATGAGAAATCGAATGTGGATCTCGATGAATTGAATGTTCTCTATCATCATCATCATTATCATTATAAGGAATTAAATGTTAATCTCGGTAGATTGAACAACCTCTATTGTTTTCATAAAGAATTAGATGTGAATCTTGGTGGATTGAATAGTCTCTATTATTATCACATGAAACTAAACATCTTCTTTCTATATTTCAGTGGGTCGAACAGCTTCTATTAACTTCACAAGAAATTGAACATCGTCTTCTTTGATCTTGACATGTCGAACATTCTTGATTACCAATCAGACTTCTTGGAGATATTGATCTGTGATCTTGATTATTATGATGATGACACTGATCACAAGAAGAAGCTCTCTCATTAGAAACTCTATTGATTCTAAAGGGTTTTTTACCATGCATGTTATCAAAGTATAAAAACAATTGTAATAATGAATAAAAGCATCTATAAAATTTAATAAAAAAAAGGCATTTCTTATATATTTTGGTTTTTTCGTCGTGAAATTATTATTCTATTATAAAAAAAAAATGTAAAATAAATGTTAACTTTAAGCTATGTATTTTTTTTTCAAATTTATTAGTTTTTCGTAATAATACGTAATTATTTATGCATTTTTTTATATAATTTTTTGATATAAGCATTACCTATAGTCTCCAACGAAAATTTTTGTTTACATAACTCATAACTTCTAATTATCAATTCTTATAGTGAGTTTGAAATATTCTTTCGAGTAACTTAGTTATAACATAATATTTTATGCATATTACTAAAACATTATTAATAGTCTTATAATAAGTCCAAAATATTCTTTTGCGCAACTAGTTATATAAAATAAAGCATTTCATTTGTTTATCACATTTTACTGTATATTGCAAAAAAAAGATAAAGAATAAATTAACTTTCATTACCTTAATTACTATTTATACTTTATTAAACTTTGTTTGTTCTTATCAAATCGTTAATTTACTATAATCAAATAATTAAATTGATATTGTTATATTATTTCAGTTTAACAATTTTCTATTTAACAATCGATTAAATTTATATTGTTAAAATTGTTATATATATCGATAAATTCAATCAAAATTAAATATAATTAGTATTTCAAAACTTTTAATATGACATGTAAATCAAAAAGAAATTTTGTATAATCGAAAGAAGTTTTTGAAGAAAATATATCCAAAATATCAAAAATTTCTAAATTATCTACCAGAAAACATGTGACATGCAATTGTAAATCATGTAAAGGTCGTAAAGTTGATTCGCGTATAAAAGAATTACATATGAAGAAAGAAGAGAGTTTGAAACGAGGGACGTCATTGAACTTTCTGATGTATGAATCAAAAAGAGTACAAGCCAGAGCCGTATTCCTATTGTCAACGGAAGAATTACAACTCCAAATATCACGTGAGATATGTCAATCAATAATGATCTCACGTTAGATGATGTCACTACTGTGCCACATAGTGATCAGCAGTAATTTCTGTT